TTTTTTTTTTTTTAATTGAATGAACCAACTTAAACTTTTGTGGCTTAATCTCATCTACCTGTTTTTGCCCATGATCTTGAAACACAGACAGAGGTAATGCACTAATATACTTTTTTCTCAAAGCCTTAACCACCAGATGTTTGTTTCAGGTTTCAGGAATGAACAAATAATACTTTAGATTTGAAATCACAATCACTGGAACATTATGTGTTGCTTTACCATATGTTTATGAGAGAGAAAAAGTCACCAAAGATGCTAACTCACAAACCTCCACTTTTACTCCTATCTCCCTTCTAGAGCAAGTTTAATCACTTAGGGAACAAAAGAGAAAGAGGAAGGGAGCAAACTAGATCACTCCTAAAATGATTGCTACAAGTCTTTTGGTTTTTCCTGTTTTTCGAGTCATATTCGTGGACTGTTGCCTAATAAGGAGGTTGTGGGCTGCAGCTGAAAAAATGCTGAAGAGGGAGGCCGGGGTGGTGGATGTGTGTCTGTCCCCACACACTCTCCATCCCCAGAGTGGAGCTGTATTACTGGTGCATTTAACATCTGAGCTTTAGGAACTAACCCTCTAATCTTCAGAGGTGTGACCAATCAATTGAAATGTAGTAAGGTTATAGAGGCTGCATACTGAAACCAAGTGGGAAAATTTCATACAGAAGCAAAAACACTTGAAAAGTTTCTCTCCACCTCTCATTCACCGGATTTGATGGTTATCTTAAAGGTAAATGGTTTGAATAGACGATCATCTGCCTGCAGACTTTCCCTTTTCTTTTGTTTTCAATCTGTCTCCGTAGTACTCACACTGTAATGACTTTAATAATCATGGTACAGAGAACATATATATTATGTTTAAAGAACAATTTAAGAATTTTATCAGGGCAATTTTGACTAAGCAACACTTTTTTTTTTTTATGAACTGCAAATACTAAGTGAGATACAACTCTATTATAATTCATTGTGTGACCTTGCCCCGGTCTTAACCTTTAGAGTATTAGCTGTCAGGCCTATAAAATGACAAGATTTGAATTAATGACCATAAAATAGTAAACTATTATGAGTTTTGACATTCCCCCTCAGTGTCTTTGC